AAGTGCTGTGTCCGCCGATGACCAGCGTGGTGAAGTATGGTCGAAACATCTCCCGACCGGAACGGCGCACACGCGGAAAACTGGGGCTGATCGAGAGAGACTGGCAACGCAGTAGCTGTAGCATCATGTACTGCGATGATGAGTGGTGTGCTGCTGTGATGATGCTGTGATGATGAGATGATGAGTAGTGTACTGTGATGATGAGTGGTGTGCTGCTGTGATGACGAGTGGTGTGCTGCTGTGATGATGAGTGGTGTGCTGCTGTGATGATGAGTGGTGTACTGTGATGATGAGTGGTGTGCTGCTGTGATGATGAGTGGTGTCCTGCTGTGATGATGAGCGGTGTACTGCTGTGATGATGAGCGGTGTGCTGCTGTGATGATGAGTGGTGTGCTGCTGTGATGATGAGTGGTGTCCTGCTGTGATGATGAGTAGTGTACTGCTGTGATGATGAGTGGTGTACTGTGATGATGAGTGGTGTGCTGCTGTGATGATGAGTAGTGTACTGTGATGATGAGTGGTGTACTGCTGTGATGATGAGCGGTGTGCTGCTGTGATGATGAGTAGTGTACTGTGATGATGAGCGGTGTGCTGCTGTGATGATGAGCGGTGTGCTGCTGTGATGATGAGTGGTGTGCTGCTGTGATGATGAGTGGTGTCCTGCTGTGATGATGAGCGGTGTGCTGCTGTGATGATGAGTGGTGTGCTGCTGTGATGAGTGGTGTGCTGCTGTGATGATGAGTGGTGTGCTGTGATGACGAGTGATGTACTGCTGTGATGATGAGTGGTGTACTGTGATGATGAGTGGTGTGCTGCTGTGATGAGTGGTGTGCTGCTGTGATGATGAGTGGTGTACTGTGATGACGAGTGATGTACTGCTGTGATGATGAGTGGTGTACTGTGATGATGAGTGGTGTGCTGCTGTGATGATGAGTGGTGTACTGTGATGATGAGTGCTGTGCTGCTGTGATGATGAGTGGTGTACTGCTGTGATGACGAGTGGTGTACTGTGATGATGAGTGGTGTGCTGCTGTGATGATGAGTGGTGTACTGCTGTGATGATGAGTGGTGTATTGCTGTGATGATGAGTGGTGTACTGTGATGATGAGTGGTGTACTGCTGTGATGATGAGTGGTGTGCTGCTGTGATGATGAGTGGTGTACTGCTGTGATGATGAGTGGTGTATTGCTGTGATGATGAGTGGTGTACTGCTGTGATGATGAGTGGTGTGCTGCTGTGATGATGAGTGGTGTACTGTGATGATTAGTGGTGTGCTGCTGTGATGATGAGTGGTGTGCTGCTGTGATGATGAGTAGTGTCCTGCTGTGATGATGAGTGGTGTACTGCTGTGATGATGAGTGGTGTGCTGTGATGATGAGTAGTGTCCTGCTGTGATGATGAGTGGTGTGCTGCTGTGATGACGAGTGGTGTACTGTGATGATGAGTGGTGTGCTGCTGTGATGATGAGTGGTGTACTGCTGTGATGAGTGGTGTACTGCTGTGATGATGAGTGGTGTACTGCTGTGATGATGAGTAGTGTACTGCTGTGATGATGAGTGGTGTGCTGCTGTGATGATGAGTGGTGTACTGCTGTGATGATGAGTAGTGTACTGCTGTGATGATGAGTGGTGTGCTGCTGTGATGATGAGTGGTGTACTGCTGTGATGAGTGGTGTACTGCTGTGATGATGAGTGGTGTACTGCTGTGATGATGAGTGGTGTGCTGCTGTGATGATGAGTGGTGTGCTGCTGTGATGATGAGTGGTGTGCTGCTGTGATGATGAGTGGTGTACTGCTGTGATGAGTGGTGTGCTGCTGTGATGATGCGTGGTGTACTGCTGTGATGATGAGTGGTGTGCTGCTGTGATGATGAGTAGTGTACTGCTGTGATGATGAGTGGTGTGCTGCTGTGATGATGAGTGGTATACTGTGATGATGAGTGGTGTGCTGCTGTGATGATGCGTGGTGTACTGCTGTGATGATGAGTAGTGTACTGCTGTGTAGAGTGGTGTACTGCTGTGATGATGAGTGGTGTACTGCTGTGATGAGTGGTGTACTGCTGTGATGATGAGTGGTGTGCTGCTGTGTAGAGTGGTACCTGTGTCAGTACTGAAGTCTGCGATGTGTGAAGAGTCGTCCTGTAGTCCTGGAGAGTAGTAGCAGTGCAGAGTAGTAGTAGTCCTGTAGTACTGTAGAGTAGTACCGTAGAGTAGTACTGTATAGTAATACAGAGTAGTCCTGTAGTACTGTAGAGTAGTACCATAGAATAGTACTGTATAGTAATGCAGAGTAGTCCTGTAGTACTGTAGAGTAGTACTGTAGAGTAGTACTGTATAGCAATGCAGAGTAGTCCTGTAGTACTGTAGAGTAGTACTGTAGAGTAGTACTGTATAGTAATGCAGAGTTGTCCTGTAGTACTGTAGAGTAGTACCATAGAGTAGTACTGTATAGTAATACAGAGTAGTCCTGTAGTACTGTAGAGTAGTACCGTAGAGTAGTACTGTATAGTAATACAGAGTAGCCCTGTAGTACTGTATTAGTAATACAGAGTAGCCCTGTAGTACTGTAGAGTAGTAGTAGTCATATAGTACTGTATAGTAATACAGAGTAGTCCTAAAGTACTGTAGATTAGTAGTAATGTCGAGTCTCAGACTGGCTACAGATCTGCGCATTGAGTGGTAGAGTGTGGCACTCTAGATTAGTATTATTATTACTACTCTAGAGCAGTGCTACAGTGCCTATATGTGGGCCACTAGAGTAGTATCAGTACTGCAGAGTGGATATCAGTAAATCACTAAGCAATAGGTACTGCAGGATGAGGCCACGACTACGCTGGGTGGCTCCACTCCAGCTGGTAGTGTCACTACTGCGTAGCGTTACTCTAGAGTTGTACTGTAGAGTAGCTTCATGATATAGTATCAGTACTATAGATAAACCATCAAGAATCCACTCTGGAGTGGTATAGACAACCACGACAAGGACCCACACTGCCACTTTGCCAGCACTCTACAGGAGTTACGCTAGACTCGTGAGATCTACGGCAGCAGTGTCTCACTCTAGAGGAGTGGTGTAGTACTATATAGTACTATAGAGTAGTGCTATAGTACTATATAGTACTCTAGAGGAATGGTGTAGTACTATAGTACTATAGAGTAGTGCTATAGTACTATATAGTACTCTAGAGGAGTGGGGTAGTACTATAGTACTATAGAGTAGTACTATAGTGTAGTGGTGTAGTACTATAGTGTCATACTCTAGAGTGGTGTAGTACTATAGTACTATAGAGTAGTACTATAGTGTAGTGGTGTAGTACTATAGTGTCGTACTATAGTGTAGTGGTGTAGTACTATAGAGTAGCACTATAGTGTAGTGGTGTAGTACTATAGTACTATAGAGTAGTACTCTAGAGTGGTGTAGTACTATAGTACTATAGAGTAGCACTATAGTGTAGTGGTGTAGTACTATAGTACTATAGAGTAGTACTCTAGAGTAGTGGTGTAGTACTATACTGTCGCACTCTAGAGTGGTGTAGTACTATAGTACTATAGAGTAGAACTCTATAGTACTATAGAGTAGTACTATAGTGTCGTACTCTAGAGGAGTGGTGTAGTGCTATAGTACTATAGAGTAGTACTCTATAGTACTATATAGTACTCTAGAGGAGTGGTGTAGTACTATAGTACTATAGAGTAGTACTCTAGAGTAGTGGTTTAGTACTATATAGTACTATAGAGTAGTACTATAGAGTAGTACTATAGAGTAGTGATGTAGTACTATAGAGTAGTACTATAGTACTATAGAGTAGTACTATAGAGTAGTACTGTAGAGTAGTGGTGTAGTACTATAGAGTAGTACTATAGTGTTGTACTCTAGAGGAGTGGTGTAGTATTTATAGTACTATAGAGTAGTACTATAGAGTAGTACCATAGAGAAGTGGTGTAGTACTATAGTACTGTAGAGTAGTACTATAGTGTAGTGGTGTAGTACTATAGAGTAGTACTATAGAGGAGTGGTGTAGTACTATAGTACTATAGAGTAGTACTCTAGAGGAGTGGTGTAGTGCTATAGTACTATAGAGCAGTACTATAGAGGAGTGGAGTAGTACTATAGTACTGTAGAGTAGTACTATAGTGTAGTGGTGTAGTACTATGGAGTAGTACTATAGTGTAGTGGTGTAGTACTATAGAGTAGTACTCTATAGTACTATAGAGTAGTACTCTAGAGGAGTGTAGTACTATAGAATAGCACTATAGAATAGTACTATAGAGTAGTACTCTAGAGGAATGGTGTAGTACTATAGTACTATAGAGTAGCACTATAGAGTGGTGTAGTACTATAGAGTAGTAATATAGTGTAGTGGTGTAGCACTATAGTACTATAGAGTAGTACTATAGAGTAGTAATAGTACTAATACTATAGAGCAGACGAACCTGTTTAGGGGCTCGCCCGCCACTCGAGTCTGATGTAGTACTACAGAGTAGTAGTACTAGAGTAGTAGTACTATAGAGAAGTAGTACTATAGAGTAGTAGTACTATAAAGTAGTACTATATAGTAGTAATAGTACTAATACTATAGAGTACACGAACCTGTTTAGGGGCTCGCCCGCCACTCGCCTCTGCTGTAGTACTATAGAGTAGTAGTACTATAGAGTAGTAGTACTATAGAGTAGTAGTACTATAGAGTAACACTATAGAGTAGTAATAGTACTAATACTATAGAGTACACGAACCTGTTTAGGGGCTCGCCCGCCACTCGCCTCTGCTGTAGTACTATAGAGTAGTAGTACTATAGAGTAGTAACACTATAGAGTAGTAATAGTACTAATACTATAGAGTAGTAATAGTACTAGTAGTATAGAGTACACGAACCTGTTTAGGGGCTCGCCCGCCACTCGCCTCTGCTGTAGTACTATAGAGTAGTAATAGTACTAATACTATAGAGTAGTAATAGTACTAATACTATAGAGTAGTAATAGTACTAGTACTATAGAGTACACGAACCTGTTTAGTGCTCGCCCGCCACTCGCCTCTGCTGCCCGCTGCCCGCAGTCCCGGGCCCGCTGCGCCGAGAGTCCGCGGCGATTTGCTCCAAGTTCGACCTTGCCCCGCCCCCCACACACAGAAGTCGGAATAATAAATAAATAAATATCACCCCTCCCTCCGCCCGCATTCCTAGGGTCCGGGGGAAACGCCCTCCCAGCACGAGCACGTGGCCGATTGGCCACCAAGCGACGTTCCCTTTAAACCACGGCGCCCGTGCCAGGCTGGGTGCACCACGTGAGGTGTCCCTGCTGGAGGGAGGTCTCGGGACACACCCAGCAGGTGCCGTGGGTAGACTGACTGAGTTGACAGGCCGATGCACCACCAGCTGTGCCGTCCCCTCCCACTCTGTGCAAACTCGCTGCGTTTTAATCGCCCGGCGCGCCGCTCGTTGTTGTGAGCGCCGCTCCTCCGCCCTCCGTTGTTGCCTGAGGGCGACTGCCCTCCAACTGCCCAGTAGCATCACTGTGCACCTAGCCTGGCACCACCCCCAGTAGCAGCGTCCTTCACGAGCCTCCTCCACAGAGGCCGATCTTGACACCACTGGTACCGCTCATCGGCAAGTCCACTCAGCTCCACATCCTCCTGTACCACATCACTCCATCTCTTCTCCAGCCCGTGCCGCGCCCGTTTAGCCCCCTCGATCCGGCCGAACAGAAGCTGCTTGGCCGGGCACGCGGTGGCCGGGCACGCGGTGGCCGGGCACGCGGTGGCCGGGCACGCGGTGGCCGGGCACGCGGTGGCCGGGCACGCGGTGGCCGGGCACGCGGTGGCCGGGCACGCGGTGGCCGGGCACGCGGTGGCCGGGCACGCGGTGGCCGGGCACGCGGTGGCCGGGCACGCGGTGGCCGGGCACGCGGTGGCCGGGCACGCGGTGGCCGGGCACGGCACGCGGTGGCCGGGCACGCGGTGGCCGGGCACGCGGTGGCCGGGCACGCGGTGGCCGGGCACGCGGTGGCCGGGCACGCGGTGGCCGGGCACGCGGTGGCCGGGCACGCGGTGGCCGGGCACGCGGTGGCCGGGCACGCGGTGGCCGGGCACGCGGGCTACATGACCCACCACAACCACCACCATCAACGCAGCCATCGGGACCTCGATCAGGTCCCCTTCTTCACGCCCCAGGGCCACCTTTTGGGGACCCCGTGACCCTTGAACCTTCAACGATGCGAGGCCAAATCCCGATGAAGCTTCGATGAGGCTGAATGGGAGTTGTTCGAAAGAACTCTCAAACGAACGAGGGCCTTGCTGTGAACGACTCAGCGCAGAAGCCTCCCACTGGCGCGGTTTGATCGTCCACGCAGCTGCTCGTGGTCCACCCCCACGCAGCGCACCAGCCACGACACAAAGCGTGGCGGCAGTGCAGGCGGGTAGCTGATGATGATGATGCACAGGCGGGTAGCTGATGATGATGATGCACAGGCGGGTAGCTGATGATGATGATGATGCACAGGCGGGTAGCTGATGATGATGATGATGCACAGGCGGGTAGCTGATGATGATGATGCAGAGGCGGGTAGCTGATGATAATGATGCAGAGGCGGGTAGCTGATGATGATGATGATGCACAGGCGGGTAGCTGATGATGATGATGATGCACAGGCGGGTAGCTGATGATGATGATGATGCACAGGCGGGTAGCTGATGATGATGATGATGCACAGGCGGGTAGCTGATGATGATGCACAGGCGGGTAGCTGATGATGATGATGATGCACAGGCGGGTAGCTGATGATGATGATGCACAGGCGGGTAGCTGATGATGATGCAGAGGCGGGTAGCTGATAATGATGATGCACAGGCGGGTAGCTGATGATGATGATGCACAGGCGGGTAGCTGCTGATGATGATGCACAGAGGGCGGAACGACGAAATGCCCCGACCCGCACACACGAAGCAGGAGACATCGCAGCGACGATGACGACGATGACGACTCCGCTGTCTCCAGCTGGCTTCACCACCTGGATGTGACGTTGTGGTTGTCGGCTCTGCATCGACATCAGCAGCCGTACGGCAGAAGAAGACCACCACCACCACCACCAACGCAGGGGACTTGTGACATTCCAATACACACAGTTGCCTGTGGATGCCCATTGCGAGATGATTGGAGCTCCTATTATTGACATCCTTTGGGTTTTTGTATGGGATTGTCATGAGTTTCTCATGTGAGTTAATAGGTCTCTTATAAGATTTAATTGGCTACGTATGCGATATAAGGTTTTTAAAATGTGATTTAATAGGAGTCTTATGGGATTCGTAAGGTTTGTTATATAATTATTATGCGATTTATGAGATGTAATGGTATTGTTTGGGGATTTTAATGCATGTTGTATTAGATTCAATTGGTTTAATATGGGATTTCAATTCATTATTATGGTAATTTATGTTTGTGGTGAGATATTTAGGGGTTGTCGTGTTTCGCAGCCTTCCTATTCGGATAATCATTCATGGATTAGGGTTGCTGTTGGGATTGTTTGTATTGATATTCTTAGAGTGATTGAGATTATGGGATTCCTATGGGTTGAATGGATGTTATGGGATTTCATAGTTCTATTAGGATTCGTACGTGTTTCCTAGGGTTCCTATTGGGATTTTTAATGGGATTCTCAGGGTTCCTATCTGACATTCCTATGGTTCGCAGAAGGATTCCTAATTGCGAATCTTACGGGATTATTCATGCTTCTATTGAGATGCTCAAGGTCACACGTGGTCGTGACGGGGTATTACAAGATCCGACCGTGTCCGTCCGGTGCTCGCTGAGCCCGATTGTCTTCCAAGTTGCCGAACGAATCCAGCGGCGTCGTTACCGGGTCGCGCTCGTGACACACAACGTGCTCGTCGGAGCTATAAAGCATCGTCACGTGATACTCTCGTCACCCTCACAGCGGCGGCTTGTGGCTCAGCCATCGAACAAAGGCAGTCAACGCATCGCGCGCTTTCAGGCGCGCTTCTATGGCCGTCTGGAACGCTCTCCCGATATTAGGAAGCCATTGGGAGCTGCGCACTTTTAAATCGTCGTCTAGATGAAAACTCATTTCTTTTTTAGAGCTGCTAGCCTCCTATTAGCACGGTTGGCTATGTACGGTGCAAAGTAATTTCAACACTGCTCATACACTAACACTGCCCATAGACTCAACTCTGCCCATAGACTCAACACTGCCCATAGACTCAACACTGCCCATAGACTCAACACTGCCCATAGACTCAACACTACCCATAAACGCAATACTGCCCATACACTAACACTACCCATAGATTCAACACTGCCCATAGACTCAACACTGCCCATAGACTCAACACTGCCCATAGACTCAACACTACCCATAGACTCAACACTGCCCATAGACTCAACACTACCCATAGACTCAACACTACCCATAGACTCAACACTGCCCATAGACTCAACACTGCCCATAGACTCAACACTGCCCATAGACTCAACACTGCCCATAGACTCAACACTGCCCATAGACTCAACACTACCCATAGACTCAACATTGCCCATAGACTCAACACTACCCATAGACTCAACACTACCCATAGACTCAACACTACCCATAGACTCAACACTGCCTATAAACTCAACACTGCCCATACACTAACACTGCCCATAGACTCAACACTGCCCATACACTAACACTGCCCATAGACTCAACACTGCCCATAGACTCAACACTGCCCATACACTAACACTGCCCATAGACTCAACACTGCCCATAGACTCAACACTGCCCATAGACTCAACACTACCCATAGACTCAACACTGCCCATAGACTAACACTACCCATAAACTCAACACTGCCCATAGACTCAACACTGCCCATAGACTCAACAGTGCCCATCGACTCAACACTACCCATAGACTCAACACTGCCCATAGACTCAACACTACCCATAGACTCAACACTACCCATAGACTCAACACTGCCCGCATTCTCAACACTGCACTTCCAATGAGCACCGTTGACTACGTACGCCTTACCTTATAAATATAATATGGTGCGAAAGAAGTTCAACATAGTACATACAACAGGCAGATCAGATTCGAATAGAAGATCGATGGCTCCGTCCCCCCTATCAGGGCCGTGTTGTCCAATAGGCCACAGCAGAGCCAACTCACTCACCCATTCACTCACCCACCCACTCACCCATTCACTCACCCATTCACTCAGCCACCCACTCACCCACTCACCCACTCACCCATTCACTCACCCATTCACTCAGCCACCCGCTCACCCACCCGCTCACCCACCCACTCACTCACCCACCCACTAACCCACCCGCTCACCCACCCACTCACTCACCCACCCGCTCACCCACCCACTCACTCACTCACCCACCCACTCACCCACCCGCTCACCCACCCACTCACTCACCCACCCACTCACTCACCCACCCGCTCACCCACCCACTCACTCACTCACCCACCCACTCACCCACCCACTCACCCACCCGCTCACCCACCCACTCATCCAGCCAACTTACTCACCCATTCACTCAGCCACCCACTCACTCACCAACCCACTCATTCACCTACCCGCTCACCCACCCACTCACCCAGCCACCCACTCACCCACCCGCTCACCCACCCACTCACTCACCCACCCGCTCACCCACTCACTCACCCACCCGCTCACCCACCCACTCATCCAGCCACCTGCTCACCTACTCACTCACTCAACCACCCACCCACTCACCCACCCGCTCACCCACCCACTCATCCAGCCACCTGCTCACCCACTCACTCACTCACCCACCCACCCGCTCACCCACCCACTCATCCAGCCACCCGCTCACCCACCCACTCACCCACCCACTCACCCACCCACTCACTCACTCACCCACCCACTCATCCACCCACCAACAGTGCTTACTGTGTCCAATGGGCCACAGTAAGCACTGTGTCGAGGGCTTACGAAAACAAATGTTGACCACGTGTTGTTTTTGTTCGTTTCATTTAAAAAAAAATGCAACCAAGATATCTTCTCTAATAAAGATATATATAGCAAGGGTAGGCACAGTGTAGATACAACGATCCTCTTTTTTTTTCATA